AAATTGAATTACTTCCAATGGAAATTAAACAAATGTTGGTCCAAAATGTGATTTCCCTATATAAACTATAGTAAAGTTTACCCCCTCCCCAGGGGAAAACGTGAGACCCCAGGGTCAAGAAATTCACAATTTTGGTAAAGCACCTTAAGACCCTTCCATCTATGAAGAGTATTTGATTCTACCATATCTGGGTCTTGAGAAGAAGATTTTTGAAATTTAAGTAAATTCGACCCTTTTTGGCCCCGCCCCCCCAGGCCCCTGGGGGCTTGGGACTAAACCCGGCAACTATTTTTGTTGACCTTTGTCCATGGAAGGTTCCTGCAAAAGTTCATTGAAATTGGTTCAGTGGTTTTGGAGAAGAAGTCGAAAATGTAAATTGTTTACGGACGCACGACGGACGACGACAGACAAAAGGCGATCGCAATAGGTCACTTGAGACTTTGTCTCAGGTGACCTAAAAACTTCATTAATGTTGACTAAAACTGATATGAAAAAGCAGGTTACCAAGCTTTTTCTTAAGATTTTTTTCTGATAGTGACAGGTTTTGACAGTCACTATCTTGTTCACTGTCAACTTTTGAAGCGATCCAGTACAAGGGCCTTCAGATTGATATCTTTATCAGTATTGATGCCATCTTTGCGCAATTGGGCCAGCTTTTCCTCTAGATGAGCTTTGTCCTTGCCCTGCATCCAATGAAAGTAAATGTCAAGATGTAACAAGGGGAGATAATGTTTATCACGCCTATTGCCTTTAAGACAAGAAAGGGCAGAGTCTGCATACTTGAGCGCCATGTCGATCTTGTCAATTGCATGATAGCAGATGACTAGACTACAAAGCGTACCTATCACATCAGGGTGCCAGTCGCCTTGTAACTTCTCTTGAACTGGCAGACACTTCTCCAGAATGGAAATAGCATCCGAGTAACACCCTCTTTCCATAGCAGCGTAACCATCTCGCAGATCTTCCTCATAAAAAAATGCAACAAATTCAGGTGAGAATCTTACCCTATGTATAGAGAAGAGGTGAGTAAGATACTGCTCAAAGGCACGACTACGGCGAGCGATAGTCTCATTTTTAAAATTACCAATCAACAATTTCCCCGGAAAGGACACCTCCTCCATCAGATCTGGAAAACGTTTTCGGAGACATGTATTCAACTTTTCAAAATCCGAGTATCTTTTCTCGACTGTTCCTGGGACCTTCTGGATCTTATTGTGGCTGCTTACCAGTATGGTGTATTTCTGTGAAATCAAACAAAGATGAGCAAAGAATGAATAGTGTATGTACAAATAATGATATATAATCAGTTGATAGATATTAGGTGTCTCAATTTACTTCCCATCAAACCAAATACTGCTGGCCATAGCAGTCAATGACTAACAATGTAACAAACAAAACTGTTTACACAAGATGAGCAAAAGGAAAACAAAAGCATGGTATTATGCATTTGTTGTACAATTCATTCCAATTTATGTATAGTGTAATAAAAAAAAAAAAATGGATGAGAAATGATATGTGATCTTAAATATGAATCCAATCCCACATACATGAGCATGTCGTAATAATTCAAACATGTAACTTGCAAAGAAGATTTGTCAGCACTTGGTACCCCCTACAGAATCACTCAAACAAGTCTGTCAGCATTAAATGTACCTACCACAAAACTTGAGCGTCCATCTTTGATCTTGTCTGCTGAAACTACATCAAAACTGACCATGCCAGTCCCAGGGAAATCCCCTTCAAACGATACTGATCCAGCAGGACTCGCCAAACCTACAGCAGAATGATTTCATATATCAGAACATTCAAGCTTCAACAATAATTTATTTTTACCTGACCATTTTTTTAGCAATAGGTAAAAACACATTGTCACTGCAACACCATCATACACCTAGACCATGAAAATCGGCCCCAAGTTAACATGTGAATTGTCTATAGCCTTCCAAGGATACTAAATAACAAATAACTTTTTGCAAAAGGGGAAAAAAAAAAAAAAAAATGCATAATGCTCTATAAATGTATATACTGTATGTTATAGGATGGGATGCCTGATTTCAAATATCACAATATTAACAAGAGTATCGCGGGGCGGAACAAAATACGCCTGTCAAATGCCATAAAGTGTTATATACTTTCTTACATTGAAATAAGATCTGCATCATTCTATGAGTGGTTAGCTGATATGCTATAAAAATGTAGGAGAAAATCTTCAGACAAAAGATCAAATACTGAAATGAACAAAAGGCATTAAATTTTCAAAATCGTTGAATCAAAATTCTTTTAAGGGAGACACAACTTCATATCATGATTATAAAGTATACCAAGTTTCAAAGAGATCCGTTGAAAAATGTAGGAGAATGTCAGACAAAAATCAAATACTGAAATGAACAAAGGGCAATAACGTTTGGAAAAAATTGTCAAATCAAAATTCTTTTAGGGGAAACACAACTTCATATCATGATTATAATGTATTCCAAGTTTCAAAGAGATCCGTTGAAAAATGTAGGAGAGGATCTCAGGACAAAAATCAAATACTGAAATGAACAAAGGGCAATAACTTTTGGAAAAAATTGTCGAATCAAAATTCTTTTAAGGGAGACACAACTTCATATCATGATTATAATGTATACGAAGTTTCAATGAGATCCGTTGAAAAATGTAGGAGAAGATCTCCAGACAAAAATCAAATACTGAAATGAACAAAGGGCAATAACGTTTGGAAAAATTGTCAAATCAAAATCCTTTTAAGGGAAACACAACTTCATATCATGATTATAATGTATTCCAAGTTTTAAAGAGATCCGTTGAAAAATGTAGGAGAAGATCTCCAGACAAAAATCAAATACTGAAATGAACAAAGGGCAATAACTTTTGTAAAAAAAATTTGAATCAAAATTCTTTTAAGGGAGACACAACTTCATATCATGATTATAATGTATACCAAGTTTCAAAGAGGTCTGTTGAAAAATGTAGGAGAAGATCTCCAGACAAAAATCAAATACTAAAATGAACAAAGGGCAATAACTTTTGGAAAAAATTGGCGAATCAAAATTCTTTTAAGGGAGACGAAACTTCATATTGTGATTATAATGTATACCAAGTTTCAAAGAGGTCTGTTGAAAAATGTAGGAGAAGATCTCCAGACAAAAATCAAATACTGAAATGAACAAAGGGCAATAACTTTTGGAAAAAATTGGCGAATCAAAATTCTTTTAAGGGAGACGAAACTTCATATTGTGATTATAATGTATACCAAGTTTCAAATAAATCGGTAGAAAAATGTAGGAGGAGATTGCCGGACAAACAAAGTTTACGCCGGACGGACGGACAACAATACTATTGTCTTAGACTTCCCTTATAGAGCATGTGCATGAGAAGAGAAGTCTAGTTTGATCCTTTGATGCACATCTAAAGAGTCTCGCAGTCGCGTAACGGTAAAACTTTTTGGTTTGGAAGTTGTGCGTCGCACCTCTGTAATCTTCAAAGGACAAGTATCAGCCTAGTGATTGGTCAGATTTTTATACCTGACACCAATCAAATAGCTAGCCGTGTGCCTTTAATTTTGCTATGACATATTCCAGGGGTGCAGAGAGCGGAAGTGAGCGTTACCCCTGGATATTGAGGATGCTAGGAACTCGCCTTACATGACACCACGGTGTCGGTCGTTTCACCCTAAATCGTGTTTGGCCTTGGTCATTTTGCACTAAGTTGTTTCGCCCTAAAAATATTTTTAGGTTAAAATGTTAAGTCCTGTTTAGTGTGTACGACTAATACAAATGTAGTCTGAGTTTTTTGAAGTTTTTCCAGGTCTTCCTTTGCTTTTTTTGTAATAATACTCGTTAGAATTGTACGTGTTCGACCAGATCTCCACAAACAATTACCCTACAGATCTCTCTGATGCGAGGACCTTTTCTTCTTCTGGGTTTATCCTAATCTAACTTTCTAGAACTGCTCACACGCTTATTGACTTATACCCTATTTACAACAGGTCTGACCATTTAATAATGCTTAATATTCTGTCTATAACAATGTCCATTCAATAAGAGACCGAACAATAACCTTAGAGTTTTGCTTATTTGAGCACTTTTGATACATTTAATTTCATGTTTATTATCCCTTATTTCTGTTCCTTTAATCATCTCTTGCGTTGTTAATACTGTAATACTACAACTCATACATTCAAATTTTCGATGATACTTTTATAAAATCTTTTATTAGTGCATCATACTGAAATTATTTAGCATTTATTCTCTTATGTACCAATCACAAATGGCTAAACTTTTTCACCCTTTCAGGCTGTAACTCTTAGCAACTTGATGACGTCACAGTTATTCTTTATTGTTCTAGTCACATATGATCTTTATTGTCATTGTACCATAGTTGCAAATATCATGTAACTGCGCTCTGAAGACAGCCTCCCTTTGGCCGAAACATGTCGGCACGTAGGATATAAATCAAACATTATACTTTGTACCGGATTCAGTGGTGTTGTTGCTCATCATTTCTATTTTCATTTTTTTCATAATGTAGAACAATTTCAACTGATATTTATAACTTTAAATATATAATTGTAAGACGAAACAACCTTGGGCGAACTGGGTTTAGGGCGAAAAGACCTGTAGTGGGAATGGGATAAAGGGCGAAACGACAAAGGGTCATTACACTACCACAAAATGTAAGGTGTTGGCGGGCACCCATCCTTCCACTGACCACATGTGAGTTCATCAAAGGGTTATACACAGGGTTATACTGTGACCAGCATCCCTGGAAAAGCTAGCTTGCCAATAAGGTAGTAGTTTTCCCTCATATTCCTGGGCTTTTACATATCTGTAAAAATCAGTCTGGTGTTGAAGCCAGAGGAAACTTAGGCTAGAAAGACAATCTTTTTGGAAACTATTTCTATAAACCATCTTAATTACCAATGTAGATCCACGGAATTGAAATTCCCTCAAACAAGGGACAATCCCTCACAAGTTCGAATAAGAACGCTTATCGAATCACTTTCGAAGTCCGTAATTGAATGAATCTTATATTTTTTATTGTCAAATAAAAGGATTTTTTCATTTAGTACTTAAGAAAAAATCCTACAGAAGCAGCTAGTATAATTAAACTCCATATGGATATAAGATCAGTCTGACAGTCACCTTTTTCAACAGAATTATATGTCCTGAACTATATTGGGGGTTTCAAAATACATAAAAAAAAACATTTGTCTCTATAATATTGAGACCCACTTTTCGCATCCTCATCCTGGTCATCAATCTCTAAAGTGAGGTTTGTGTCAAGAAATGCATCACTTTCATCCAATAATACGAGATCCTGGACATCATCCCGACGAATGCATGCCTTCTCTAAGTTATTTTTCAGATGATCCTTCCTTAGAAGAGAAGCCATGCTTTCAGGGGAAATAAAATACACAGCAGTATGCAAATGTCCACATTGTTTTTGTTTGACAGCAGACAGGAAGTTTATCTGTAAGTTCGCTTGGGGATAACTCCTTTTCTATCGACGATATACTTTCGGAACATCTTTCGTTTTATCTATGCCAAACAGTCCAAAATGAAAGTAATTACGAACGGATTAAAATGGGAGCGGTCAATGTTGCTGAATATGAATCCTCAGTTTTACTAGAGTTGTTCATCTACCTTGTATATTCTATTTGTTACGACTATCCAATTTATAAATTAAGTTTGAATGTATCAATGATATAATTTTCGAAGGACATACACTATTTTCAACCAATAAAATTGCAGTAAATTTCAGTTGTCAATTCAAAATGGCGTCGGAGGGCGACAGGAAGGCGTCCTTCGGAGATGAAAACCAGCTTTCATCAATACTTTCCGAATTAAATGCACAGAGAAACGTGTCAAGGTTTTGTGATGTCATCCTGAAAGTCTGTGGTGATCAAATATTCGCCCATTCCAATGTATTGGCAGCAGCGAGTCCTTATTTCGCGTCCTTTCTCGGACTCGGGCAAGATTTACCACGGGCATTTTCCCAAAAAACTCCTCAGATCATTGAAATACACATTGATGGTAGCGAAGGAGACAGTGGATATGGAGACGCTGTACACAGAGTTGTAGACTATATGTACACTAGTAACATTCAATTAAATTACAACGTTCTTACCCCTGTTTTGGAAATCGCCAAAATCATGCAAATGAGCAAAATATTGGAATTCTGTGATCTTTTCCAGCGAGGCGAAGATGGTGTGAAATCCAAAGAATCCCAAATCAACACAAAGGATGCAAACATTCAGACGAGTGTGACATATCCACATCGTAATCACCATGATCCTATCAGTGCAAATGAAAAAATCGAACAGACACCAAAAGTAGAGGTAAAAAGAAAGAGAGGTAGACCTAGGAAAACACCTCTACCCTCAAAGATTCCGAAAGCTTTAAATCAAGAGAAGGAGGAGTCGATGGAAGAGACAGCAGAAATAAAGGAAATTGATAAAAAAGAACATGATAAGTTGGAGACAGAAGAAGAAGAGTTTAAAGATGATGACCAGCCAGACTTGTTGGCATATGATCTAGATAAATTAGAAGATCCAGCTGAAACGGATGATGACGAACCTGAAAGCACACCAGATGGTCGACCAATACGTAGAGTTCGTGGCAAAAGACCAAAGTACTTTGAAAACTATGTAGACAGTCCAATGGTATGTTACAATGTGACGAAAACAAAATCGGGGAGAGAAATCTATGAATGTCAGGACTGCCCTTACAATTCAGAAGTCATGTATCATTTCAGAAGACACCGCTCTTCCCACATGAATGCAAGTTCTAAATACAAATGTGACAAATGTGACTTCTCCTCTCCACGGCTCAAAGTTCTGACTAATCACCATCGGAATCACTTACACGAGGACAATAAATGTAGTTTTTGCGATTTCCAAGCTGATGACAAGCAAGTTCTGAAAGTACATCTTGAAAAACATTCTGGACAATATCCATATTTTTGCCAATTTTGTGAGACCAAATTCAAAACAAAAACTCAACTAAATATTCATCTTCCAAAGCACTTAGACAGTAAGCCTTTTGTGTGCACAGAATGTAATGCTGGATTTAAATGGAAGCATGCACTGAAAAATCACATGATTACTCACAGCCAAACGAAGGACCATCTTTGTGATATTTGCGGGTTCACCACAGCACACAAGAGCCAGCTGAAAGCACACAGACTGATACACACTGGTAACACATACAAGTGTGAAGTTCCTGGCTGCACATTCCAAGCAACAAAGCGACAAAACTTAAAGTACCACATGCTTACTCATACCCATGAAAAACCTCACCAGTGTGAAATTTGTGGACAAAGTTTCTCTTTGGTGAAAAACATGAAGCGACATATGCTACTTCACACAAATACCCGTCAGTATAAGTGTAAATTATGCATATTTTCCACCACCCGCTATGACAAGCTCAAAGACCACATGTTAAAACAGCACGGAGAAGGAGAAATGCCGAAAAAGAGGTTCAGGTTGTTTGACTATCCAAAAAGTATGGTGCCATCAGAAACCATAAACTTTGAGGAACTTGGAGAAGGTGAAGTGATACCAAACATTGTACATGTGGAAAACACAATGAGTACAGCACAATGTAAGATTGATGAGAATTCCAGTGGTGAGCAACAGATCTTCATTACAAACCCCGCCGGTGAGCCATTCCCGATTACCCTCACAAGGATAGAGGGCATGGAGGGTGTTAACTCTGGCTGTTACCAAACTATCCAACTGGTGGCTCATGTCGAATAAATATATATACAAAATGTTTATAATTATAACTGGTGGCTCATGTCGAATAATTATATATACATACAAAATGTATATATATATAATTATTCGACATGTCAGAGCCACCGTATATAATTATATACATTTTGTGTATATATACATTTGTATAATTATAATTGGTAACTCATGTGGAAAATTATAAGGGGATGGTGGTACATGTTGAATAATTTAAACTGGTGGCTCATGTTGAAAAAAGTATAATGGTGGTTCATGATTCACTTGAATATTTACATAAATATATAGTTATTTAATTACTCATTTTGAATAATTAAAACGGGTGGATCATGTTGAAAAAAGTATAATGGTGGTTCATGATTCACTTTAATAATTACTCATTTTGAATAATGATAACTTCAATGACTAAATGAGTATACCACTACCAGTTTATATAATATTTTGACAGTTTTCAGAAACTCTGAAAATATTAATATACAAATTTCAACTGTAGCTTTACGGTAATTTGTGTGGTTACCAAGTTTTCCAGGAAAATTTGTGTAAAACAATCATTTTTTTTCAAGTTATATTTTTTAATTTGTTAACATACTCTTCATCCAAATGTATGTGTACTTTTAATTCATTAATAACTGAATTTCTTTTTCAAGACCTAGAAGTACTGTTTAGACATAATATTAAAAGCCACAAGGAGAGTACAATGATTTATGTACTACTTGCAGTATATATAGATTGTGGAAGAAAATAGGAATTATTGTAATAATATAGCCCTTGTGTCTATTACTCTACATATTAACTAAGAAATAAAAAATCTCCATTTCATTGTAGTTGAAAAATATTAATTAAGTTAACACTAGTACTGTACTTGGACAGTTATAAATTTAGAATAGTGGATGCTGAAATGACTTCTTGTGTGTGATTTGATTTAAATTTCTGTAACTTTTTTTCCCATTTTGAATAATCTATAATCTTCAATTCATGATACTCTGTATGCATATGTGAACTATTATATATAGTTTGTCACTGACCAATACAGATTTGTATGGGGTCAGTAGCTATATATAGGTATGAATTATGGCTGGTTCCTATATATATTTCTATAGTGGGTAAAGCTACCTGACCTCAAATTTATTGCATAAAATACAGTTGCTTACATATTTACTTATCACTCAGAAAATACATTTTTCTGAACTTTTTGTTATAATATTAATGTCCAATCCATGTCAATCAATTTTGGGGGTTTAATTACCAGTATATGTGTGAATTGAAGTCTGCTATAGAGAGTCATCACAGGGCTTTTTTGGCCAGTCAATGAATGTCATTCAACAATTTCATAGATTGTCCAATTGATTGACAATTTAGTGCACATGTTGTTTGATTAAAGTGTTACTTCGTACACCAGCAGTGTAGGTATAAAAGTGCTTCAACGTTTTAAGTTGGACTGGCCATGGCCTCCTTGTCAAGTTATCATTGAGCAGACATTTTTTTTTTTGCATGTTTAATACATGTACAAGATTTGAAAACAATAATATGGTAAAAATTGACAGTTATTTAAAAAAGCATGTTATGCTGTGATGCCGCAACGAAATCTCCCTACTTAAAATTAAAAAAATAAAACCCACAAAAATCATCCTACTGTGTGTTCTAAAAGTATCTGAAGTAGACATATACAAAGTTTATGTCTATACTAACTGAATTTATTTTCATAATTTATGAATCATCAGTGTCATGATGGGTTGATACTTTTGAACTCTTTCAAAATTATAAATTATTTTTAAATGTGTTAAGGTCTTTCCAAAAGGATTTATGAAGATACTTTTAAACACTTACTTCAAAAAAAATGATAAAAAGTCATTATCGTCATGTTGATTGTCCATAAGTTGTAGAAATTCACTTTTAATTTTATTGTTTGGTTCACCTACATTGGTCCTAATGGCCGGCTTCAGAGTTCTGACTCTCATCAGTTTATGAAGTATATGTTAAATGTGACAAGTACTATTAGGTATTATTTTAAAGTATTCTCTCTCTACACAAGTACAATCAGTAATTATTGTTTTATTTATGTACAAATGTACTCACAATTTATCAATATAATGTTTAACATTAGAAAATTGTCAGTAAATGTTTGATTTGTTGAGTGCTTTGAGCAAAAATATCCTTACTTTATTTTGTTGATGTATATTGCCTTGGAAGTTGTGAAAATCATTAAAATATTATCTTTTTGACCGCCTTGACTGAATATTTTAGCGTGAAAATGTGCAAGAGTTATCTTTCCTATATCATGTACATCATTGGAGTCGATCGTGTACACAGGAAATATGTAAACTTTAACATAATTGTATTCAATATCACAGGTGCTGGTGATGGGCACATATATATATATATATACTGTGTTATATCAGAGACGTATATACTACATACTGGCTTTATACGTCTCTGGTTATATACGTGTACATTTCTTTACGTAATGTAATTTCTTTATGTAATAGTATACACATTTTATGTGTGTCCAGCATCTTCAGGTCATCCTCCGAAAATTGTATGAATTACCTTCAATTCTAGGTATCGTCTAGTCACCAGTTTTCGCGCGTTATGTATTTCCGTGTAGCCATTTTATCAAGCTATATCTCATAAATACGTGACCTGCTGGACACAACACAAGGATATTTTAGACGTTTGGCCATCGTCTGTAAACTGACACAAAAAATACCGGAAATTCGTCCGGAAAACATAAGAATTAATCACCGATTAAAAAAACACGCATAAATATGCAGTTTTGCTTAATGCACTTTTTATCTTGCTCAAAATGAGCCCATACCTGAAAAACGGTGATATATTTCATTCATGAACTGGTCTTTTTTGTAGTCAGACAAACGTACGAAAATGTCGTATGCAAATGAGGTCACATCTCCTCGCCGATTTTTTTCCATTTCCGAAGAGCCAAGGGGACATTCTTATATAGATAAACAAGAGTTTTCAATGAAACGTAAACCTTGTAATGCAATGAAGTTTCAATTTTCACCAATTTTAAACAGAACAAAATGAGAAATAACTTACCATCAACCAAAACCGATATAAAACTGCAGAAAAAAATAATAACAGATTATATATTATAACTAAATATAACAAATAAATTAAAAAAAATTACATGAATTCGTTCAATTTGGCATCTTGAAAAATCTATTAAAAATGTGAAATTTTAAAAAAGTTGTTTCGATAATTAATTTGACGATCAAAGATGGGTGTTTTTTTTTATTCCAAACGAAGCTTTTGTTCTTGCAGGTCACTGTAAGGAATTTCTTTTTAGTGTATTCGAGTTATCTTTCTTTGAACACTAAATCAAAGAAGACACACGGAAACATATGACGGAAACATATGACGGCTACTTCCGACGGGAGAAATTTGTTAAAAATTGTTTGTTCTGATTTTTTTTTAAATACAGTTTTATGTTGCTAGTTTTTCGGTTCCTTTAGTAGATTGTATACATGTTTATGACAGTGATCCGTAATTTCAACAGTTTTCTGCAGATATGAGTTGCTTCTTGCGCGGAAACCGGTAACCTGAGGTTACGTTATGCACTGTTCCGGGCTTGTAGAAAACTGAGAAAAAAATGCTTCAATGTAATTAATGTTTAGGTCTCCGCTCGTGACTGTAGCTTAGCCGAACTAATTAGGCGGACAACTTGAAACTGAGGTATCGGGGTGAAGCCGCGGATGGACATTGGTGGGTCTTTGGGTGAAATGTAAAGGTTCAACGTTTCATTATCATATGAATAACATTATACCTGGAAAATGTCAATCTGCGTTCTCTTATGTTATAGGAGTACAGAACCTGTAGAAGATAGAGATCATAGATAAATAAGCATTGCGATGTTCCGCCGATTGACTCATTGAGCATACCCTACCGGATGTATATATATTAAAAGTTCAATTAAACATAACCACGTTGCTAAACCGATAAAAGTTGTTTTTTTTATGTTTGACAAGACCATAGGTACAATTGAGTTTGTTATAACCTACAGTAACAAATCCTTATGTCCCTGTGGATAAGACCATCACCGTCTATGCTTTCATATGTCTGACAAGCCTTTGTAAATATTTACGGGCGGTGGAGCGCGGTAACATACAACTACACACAATCATATCTATAGAATCAAATGTGGTCTAATATAAAACTTACACGTTTATAAAAACAACTTTGTAAACAAACTCGTGAGAAGAGCATCATCAATCATGCGAGTTTAAATTTGTTTGTGAATTATCAAAACAGATTGCATCCAAGTTGAGTCACTGACATGAGTTATGTCCCTTGGAAGGACGTCACTGTTTCGTTGTATAACTTTGACATTGTAGAAAGGAGCACGACAATGACAAAATGCGCGTGGGATTCCGACTCTCAATTTTTCAGTTAAAAGTATTTTACAGTTGAAACATTCTCGAGAAAAAAGGAATTATAATCAGACACAATAATACACATATAAAAAATTAAGCGTGTGTAGAGATTTTGAACTTCCGCGGTTTGTAAACAAAAATGATATAAAAGACTTTCGATCGGATCACTCTCATTTGACATTTATAACGGGAACAAATTAATTATAACGACAACGACATGCCCAATTATATACTGTAATAATCATTATGTTAAAATAGCGGCGATAATCCTGATTATAAATAACGGCGATAATCCTGATAATAAATAGCGGCAATAATCCTGATCATAAATAACGGCGATAATCCTGATCATAAATAACGGCGATAATCCTGATCATAAATAGCGGCGATAATCCTGATCATAAATAACGGCGACATTACGTGTTGTAACCACAACGTTTATCACACGTAACGACGTCGTTTCTTTCTAACACATAACGGCGACTTTCCTGATTTCTGTTTATAAGTAATGGCAATATTTCTGATTAGAGACCTACATAACGGCAATATTTCTGATTATAGGCTTACAAAACAACAATTAACATTCTTTATCATACATAACGGTAATATTTCTGATCATAGGCCTACAAAACGGCAATTAAGATTCTTTATCATACATAACGGTAATATTTCTGATCATAG